CAGGTGTGGGAAGGACAGGTGTGGGGAGGGACAGGTGTGGGGAAGGACAGGTGTAGGGAGGGACATGCCCTTCACTTGGGGGTAGTTTCCTCAAATGGCTGCTGTCCACGCAGAGCAGTGTCCTCCGTCCCCGGCCTGGCTTTGCACCCCTGGGGCTCCTCGTCCCAACCCTGGAGAAGCAGGTGTGGGGCCGAGCGCAAATGTGAGCTGTGTGGGGTCAGCTCTGGGACAGAGGCCTCACCAGCTCATGTCCTGGTCTTAGTGAGGGCCCAGAGGGGACCAGGTGGCCTTTGCTGGTCTCTTCCTGCCGGTCTTGTGTGGAACTGGCCTTTGCTTTGTGGTCTAGTGACGACTGCTTATAAACAGCAGAGCCTGTTAGTGTCCCCGGCACCAACCAGGGCCTGGCGTGAACTCTGAACAAGTTCATGGACTTAAATTCTCTGGGCCCCTGCTGCGTTGTCTTTCCTTATCTGAGTGGATGGGAAGGCTACACCAGCCCTGTTTCTGTGAGGCTCAGGGAAAGATTGGCAGGGGCAGTGGCCACACCAGGACCCCACCACCCTTGGTCTTTCTGGAGGAGAGCCCTTCCCACCTGGTCCCAGAGTGACTTCTCATACGGGTTGTCCCTTTCTGTCTGAAGTTTCTCTTGGCCCTGGTCAGGAGGGAGGTGCCCTGGCAGGGACCTTCCACACGCACAGAGAATGCCTGTTGGCTTCTGTCTGGGGGACGTTATGGGGTGGCGTGAGCTGGGGAGGTGGAAGAGCCAGGGGACTCCTGCAGAGGGGGAGTGCAGGCAGCGGAAGGTGCAGGGTAGATGGTGGTCAGCTGGCTGCCTGTGCCCCAGGGCACTCGTCTGCAGCTTGCGCTGTGCTCAGCTCGGAATCTGGCTGCCCAGAGGTGGGAGAAATCCGGGCAGTGGGAGCGGGGCCGTGCTTTGGAAGCCACCAGTGGTGGTGGGCACAGGACACCTGTGTGCCTGTGACCTCGAAGCCACCCCCCGAGAAACTCCTGCAAACGCCAGCAGGTGATATGACATGCAGGAGTGCCCCAGCCGTGACCCGTGAGGGCATCAAGGCCGGGAGCAGAGGCAGGCCTGTCCTGGGGGGGCTGGGCTGAGCACACGTAGAGGACCAGGTATGGACAGGGCGCAGGGGCCAGGGCCAAGGCCAGGGCGCGGGGCCAGGGCCAGAGCGTGGGGGCCAGGGCCAGGGTGCGGGGGCTCTCTTGCAGGCAGCAGAGCAGGCTGAAACATCTGGTGGCCTGGCCGGGCAGCAAGGTCCGTTCCCACAGCCCAGCATGCCTGAGCTCGTGTGTGCTGTGGGCCGTGCGGTGATTGTGCTGCTGCGTGTCCAGGGAACGGTGAAGCCTGCCTTCGAGGGGGGCAGAGAGGGCCGGGGCTGGGGTGGACCCGAGTGTGGCCTCCTGGGAGCCCCGCAGGCGTGGAGTGAGTGGGGCTGGAGGAGCTGGGGAAGGAGGGCCGCAGAGCGGGGCCTGACCTCCCACTACCCTTGCCAGGGAAGGCCGTCTGGGGGGAGAGCGGAGAGCTGGTGTGCACCAAGCCCCTGCCCTGCCAGCCCACACACTTCTGGAATGACGAGAATGGGAGCAAGTACCGCAAGGCCTACTTCTCCAGGTTCCCAGGTGGGTCTGTGCCTGTGCTGTGCCCAGCCCAAGGCCAGGGCGGCTGTCCACGCAGGCTGCTGTTCCTGGATGTGTTCTGTCTCCCCTGTGTCAAGGGAGGCTTCCCTGGGCGCAGCCGAGCCCCACCTGTCCCTGCACCCAGCCCTGTGCCGGCGCTGGCCGAGCCCCTGGTTTGCCTGCAGGTGGCCTCGGGAGGGTGGGGACCCCTGGGCTGCGTTCTTCTTCCTCCTCCTGCCCTGGTGCCACCGCCCAGCCCTTTGGAGGTATAGGGAGAGGGCTTTACGCAGGGAGGCGTCCTGGCCTCTTGCCCTGGCCAGGGGAGTCTCTTCTCCCGAGGGTCCCACCTCTCTCTCCGTGAGCAGCCGCTACAGAAGGCAGAATTCAGCAGGCCCCTGCCGCAGTTGCTCCGCTAGACACTGCCTGCCCCCGGCTCACATGATTCTGCACACTCCGCGTGTGCGAGTCAGAACGTGGCCCACGACTAAGCAGGCCATCCTTACATGTTGGCCTTGGGCGCCAGTTTGGGGGGGATGCCCCTGCCACGCAGGGTGCAGCGCACCCGTGAGGCCCAGCCTCCCCTGCTGCCCGCCTCATCCTGCAGACTCAACAGCGGGGATGTGCTCTTCCCTTCCCATGGCCCTGGGAGGGGCTCCTGCCGTGGGAAGGGAGGTCACAGGGTTGGAAACTCCGCTTGGAGATCCGAGATCCGCCCAGGAAAGGATGCCCCCATGTCCTCTGCAGGGCTGCTCCTTGGAGACCAGCTTTGTTCTATAATTTTTGTCAGATGCGGGGATTTGTGTGATGAATGTCTTTCTGGACTAATTCAGGAAGAAAGCTCTCTTTTGACTCTGATACTCCTTCTTGGAGAAGACAAATTCTTTGTGTCATTCGTCCATTTTTGTCTTGGAAACTCAGAGCTGGAAGCCCTGCCCTGGGTCCTCCTCTTACCCTGGGTGGGTTTCTATTCCCTTTGATTAATGCCATCTTGATGCCTGACGTCGCAGAAGCTCCCCAGTACTTCCTGGGGACAGGTGGGAGATACAAATAAATGTGGAGTGACCCAGAATGGGACCTGGGTCTGCTGGCCATGGGCAGAGTGGACAGCCTCCTGCAGCACAGGGAGCTGCACAGAGAGCCTCCCTCCTGCACAGGCTCAGAGGCCTCACCCTGTCCTGTCAGGGCAGATGCAGGCGGGCCGTGTGCAGGAGAAGGACGACCAGGGGATGGCCGGGGAAATCCGAGGGTTAGGACAGAGGGCAGGTGTCCCTTTGGTGTGAATTCTGAAAAAGAATTTCTATGTGACTGAGGGCGAGTGACCCAGGACAGTGAGTGAGGGGCACAGGAGCGGGTTCACGAGCTGTTCTTGTTCTCCTTATGGCTTATTTTAAAATATTTTTTAGGTGTAGTTGGTCACAATAATACCTTTATCTTATTTATTTATTTCTATGTGGTGCTGAGGGTGGAACCCAGGGCCTCGCACGTGCACTCTACCGCCAAGCCCCAGCCCCAGCCCCAGCCCCTAGCATATTTTTAAAAATCATAATAAACACTTACAAACAAGTCAGAGGCAGACTTAGGAAGGATTTAGGCCTCGGCAGGGACAGACACCGGGAGGCCTCCGGTGTCACCTACAGCCCTTCACAAAACCGTGCTTTCAGGAGACATGGGGCTGGATTTGCAGCTTGGGTCCCGAAGGTCTGGCCGGGCACTGTGGAGGGAAGTGTGCTCTGGGGCCTGTGCCAGCAGCCGCTCCCTGCGAGACCACCAAGGCTGGTGGCCTCCCGTGGACTCTCTGCTCAGCTTGGCTTTGCAGGAAGCCGACGAGCTTCCTGGTGACATTTTCACAAAAGAAGGTCTCCTGGGCGCACCTGCACCTTCCTTTTCCTCCACATTTCCAGAGCCTTGGTCATCAGGACCAGGCACCAAGCAGCCCAGAGAAGGCAGGAATGTCCCCTGGATTCAGGGAGACTGGTGCCACGCACACGTGATGGGGCAGGTGGGACTGCCCCTGGGTCTGCAGCAGCTGAGGTGCTGCTCTTCTCTGTCGTACCTTCTAGAAGCCCATGTTTGACGCCCCGGTGCGGATCTTCGGCCCGGGAGGCCGATGGCCCCCGTGAGCTGCTCCCTCCTCGCAGGGCCCTGGGTGTGGGGACCCAGCTCCCTGCAGACAGGCATCGGGCGAGTCCCCACCAAAGACCCTGTGGGGCTTGTTGAGGGTGCTGTGCTGACACCACAGGAGCCAATGGGCTCATGAGGACGGTCCTCAGGGCCGTAGGTCAGCCCTGAGTCAAGTGGGAAGTGGGGGGCGGAGCCCTCCCTCGGCCACCCTGGGAGGCTTCCCTTCCTGGGCGGGGCTCCTGGGCTTTTCAGGAGGCTGAAGCCCAGGGGACAGGTTCGCTGGAGTTCCTCTCCGTGCTGGTGCAGGAGGCTCCCCTGGCCACATGGCTGTCATCCCAGCCTAGCTCTGGCCCTCGCCTGGCCCCCACTGCCCTCCCCAAGGCCAGCCTTGTCCTACACTCAGCCCTCCATGTGCCCCGCTGCCCGAGGAGCCTGCATGCTGAGTGTGGGCTCACTCTCCTTGTCCTGTGGCCTCGCTGGTGTCCCCAGGTGCTGTCTCCCCAGGTCCCCATGTCAGAGCTGGGTGGGTGGCCATCCTGCCATGGGACTGCTCCTGGGGCAGGAGCTTCTGGTTCCCTGGGTCCCCTCTTGACCCCAGCCTCATGTGGCACCTGTTTGGGCCTCGTGGTGTCTGCCAGCTGGCATCCCATCTGCCTTGGGCAGGCCACATTGATTGCATTCCCTGAGTGACCGGTGGCTCTGCCTCTTCTCAGGTATCTGGGCGCATGGTGACTACTGCAGAATCAACCCCAGGACTGGGGGCATCGTCATGCTTGGCCGCAGGTGAGGCTCCGGTGGGCTTCCCTCCCCTGGAGGACCCTCCTGGGGGACCCGGGAAGGAGGCTCATCCCTGGGAGGGGTGGCCCCTCCCGGCACCCTGCCTGCCTGAGTGGGGTGCTCCGCAGCCCTGCTGGGGCCCTCCTCCACCCTGTCCCCGGCCCTGGGTGCTTTGTGCTTCCCACCCTGAGCCTGGGTACGTGCTGTCTCTGACCCAAGACCCCTCTGGGGAAGGGTCCCAGCCCTTGTCTTGCTGTCACGTGGGTGGACGTCCCCCATCTTGTGCCCTCCCTGTACTGGGCTGACCCTGGTTCCTGGCCTGGTGGGTGTGGGTTGTGGGGGATTCGTGGGGTGGGAGGCCCAGGGCAAGGCCTGGCCAGTGTCTGTCACTGGAGGCAGGCTGTGTGTGGCCTTGTCCCTGGTAGGGAGGACACTGCAGGTGAGAAGGGTGGTGAGGGCTGAAGTCTGTGGACAGGGGCCCCTCGATGTCCAGGGGGGCTGTGGAGCACGGAGGGGCTGGCTGTGGGAGGTGAGGCCCTTGCCAACTGGCCCGCTGGTGCCTGGGTGGGGCTGGACTTGCTGGCCACGGCTCCTCTCACGCCCTGCCTCTCTCCAGCGACGGCACGCTCAACCCCAATGGAGTGCGCTTTGGCAGCTCGGAGATCTACAACATCGGTACGCCCTGCCCTCCCTTCCCCCCAGGCCCGGGTCCTAGGCAGTGCCTGTGGGTCGATTCCTGGTCAGCTTCCTTGTGGCTTGACCAGGGTGAGGATGGACATTTAAGCACAGCTTCTTTCCTGCGGCCCAAACTGAGACCTAGACCTCAGAAGGGCTGTAGGTCGCTCGGCCCCTTCCCTGTCACGTTCCCTCCTCACCGCCAGCTGACGGTGTTTAGGCTTAAAGGGTGAGGGAACAGAAGCACAGAGAGGCTGTGTGAGTGCTGAAGGCCACACAGCACCTTGCAGACACCAGGTGCAGTCAGTGCAGACCTTCGAATCTCACGACCACCCAGTGGGGTCCCCTGGGGCACGCTGAGCTGCCTGACCCAGGGACTCGAGCCCCACCCAGGCCTTGAAATCAGCCTTCTTGGGAGGGGGTTGTCTCTGGTGTTCAGGCCAGCGCCCAGTCTGTACGACCAGGGTGGAGACGCCTGGCCTCCCCCATAGAGCCACCGCAGGGACCTGCCCAGTTGTAGTTGTCACTGGCAAGCCCGGCCCACATAGGCTCCTGGAGGCCCTGCCCAGTCCAGGTGTGGCTGAGCACTGGCTCCCAGCAGTGGCTTCCTCCCACTTGGTTATGAACATCCCCAGGGCACTTTCCCAGGTGGGCTGAGGACAGGATGTGGGCTTTCCTGCCAGGTTGGTGGCCGGGCACCCTCCCTGCCTTCCGCCCAGTTGATGGGTGTCCCCAGCCTACAGAAGGGCCTTCTGTCTCCACAGTGGAAGCCTTTGAGGAGGTGGGGGACAGCCTGTGCGTCCCCCAGTACAACAGGGACGGCGAGGAGAGGGTGATCCTCTTCCTGAAGATGGCTCCGGGGCACGCCTTCCGGCCTGAGCTGGTGAAGCGGGTCCGCGAGGCCATCCGCCTGGGCTTGTCGGCACGCCACGTGCCCAGCCTCATCCTAGAGACCCAAGGCATCCCGGTACGTGCCCAGCCTCGTCCTGGAAACCTGGTCCCTTGGCCAGCACCAGAGCTGGTGCCTGTGTCGGGGTCCTGGGGCCAGCAGCACCATCCTCCCCTCCTCTCCAGGACAGCTTTGAACCGCCCGGTGACACGGGTGTGCCAGGGGTGAGGCTGCCAGGCTGTGGTGAGGACCTGGGCCCAGCTCTGCGGAGGCTCTGGGCGCCCGCCCTACACAGAAGCAGGTCCTCAGCTGCACCCACCTACCCTGCTTGGATAAGGGGAGGAGACAGGTCCCTCAGAGGGTCATAGCGACCTCCTGTATTGCTGAGCGGTGCCTCTGGGTCAAGCCCCAGGGCACCTGTGCGCACAGAGTCCCCAAGATGGTGGCCATGGGATGAACTACAGAAGTGCTGCTCGTTCAGAGGGGCGGTGGCCTTGGGGGCGATGGCCTTGGGGGCAGTGGGCTGTGTTTTGGTGAGTGTTGGGGGCTGCGGGCTCACCTGGAAATGGCTTTGGGGATACCGGGGCCTCTGCCACACGCTGACTTGGGGACCCTTCAGCAGCTTGGGTCACTGTCTCTGCCTTAAAGAGATGCTCTGTTGTCCTTGTGCCACCTCTGTAGGAGGGGCGGGCGCTGCTCCTCCTCTTCCCACTGGGGACAGTGGCTGCCCTCTTCCCCTGGACCCACGTCCACGTCTGTGGTGCTGGGCTCCCTTCCTGGTGTCCTTGTGCCTCGTCATGGTGGCTGTGCGGAGAACCCGCTGCTGGGAGCTTCTGTCCTCTCCCTGGTTGGGGACTTGCTGACAGTCTGTGGAGACGCTGGCCCCTTGCAGGGAGACAGATGCCTGGGGTCGTGGCCCTGCTGCCCCCGTGAGGTCTCCGTGCTCCTTCAGCCAGCCGGTTCAGGGCCCAGGGCTCCATTCTGTCCCCTGGGCTTGTTGAAGAGCCATGTCTTCTCGCCAGGTCCTTCCCAAACTGTGCCAGAGCCCTGGCTCATCATCCTCCCTCCTCTGGCCTCTGTCCCCTGCTGTCCTGGCCCCTCGCTGCCCACACCAGCTGCCCCTGCTTGATGGAGCACGAGGTCACCATGAGGCTGACTCAGATGCCATGGTCTGGACTGACCAGGGCTCAGGGCGGGGCTCCCCAGTGTCCTTGGGCGGGGGGACAGTCACCAGGAGCTGGAGCCACTTTCAGGAGAGGTCAGCTGAGTTCCTGGCTGTCGAGTTCTGGGCCTTGCTGGAGGCAGGAGGGCCCCTGCATGAGGAGCCCCGGGCTCCCCAGCCTTGCCCAGGCGAGGGCCATGTCTGCTGGACAGCGCTCCTTCTGCCCCCTGGAGCAGTGCTGCTCCCACCATAACAACTGAGGGCCCTGGGAGTGCTCAGGAGAGATGAGCTGGACCCTCCCCATGTCTGGGCTGTGGCGTGAGGAGAGGGCTTGGGACAGAAGGGACAGCTGTGAGCCCCGTGGGACGGGTCCTGGCTGGCACTCCCCTAGGCCCTGGCTTACCTGTTCCCTTAGGCCTGCCTTGGGGCCACTGATGGGCATCCCCCAGCCTGGTCTGCACCCCTGAGCTGGGCTGTGACAGTGCTGGCTTGGCAGTGCAGGGGCCTCAGGGCCTGAATGTCATCCTGGTGGCTTGGCTCTCACTGTCACTGGGGCCAGTCAGCCACCTCGTGGCTGGGCTCTTTTAGAAGAGAGGTGGCTTGTGGCCCATTCAGCCTCCCTGGCTCCCTCCCATCCCAACAGCGTGCCTGACCCCTCTGAGTTGCCGTGTCACCGTCACTCACTGCTGTCCGCAGGGCCAGGGCTTCTCCCTGCTCAGCCTGTGCTGGTGAGCGAGAGAGAGCCTGAATCTGAGTGAGTGTGTAAGTGACTGAGAGGGAGTGTGCGTGTGTGTGCGCGTGTGTATGTGTGTGTGTGTGTGAACCAGTATGTGAGTGAGTGAGTTAGTGAGTGATCAGGGCAGGCAGGGAGGGAGGCAGGGAGGGAGGGACACTGGTGGCTGGAACAAGCTTATTTTCTTGGTCCCCCTTACTGACCAGGAAGCTCCGAGGCAGGCCCTGTCTGATGGAGGGGAACCCAGTCTTTGGCTGGCCGGCCACTGACTCTAAAGAAAGTCCTTGAG